GTCGGTCCACCACTTTGGTCCAAAATGAAATATCTCAACAACCTCTTGATTGATTGCCATGAAATTTGCGTTCTCAGACGATGTATTTATATGATGCTGGCGATCATTTGACTTTCTTCTAGGTCCACCATGAAGTTGAGTGAATTTTGAGTGAAATGTCTTGACAGCTATTGGATGGATTGAAGTACGTTGGAATACATTTTTGGCTATGCTAGCATTATGGCTGTAGGGATGGCAATAATCAGTTAGTCAGTCCACCACTACTTTGGTAACGTCTGGACTGATAGCTATTTGAGAGATTTGATACAGACCTTCATGCCCCCCTCAAGATGAATTGTTAATACTTGATGACATTCCCATCATCCTCAGCTCTACTTTTTTGTTTAAGGCATTGTCATAGATAACTTTATTTAACCAGGAAAGGGCCTCACTTATGAACATCAGGGCTGCCAACTTTTCAATTTAGTTTGGATTGAGATTCGGTATTGCAGAGGTCTGTGCATTTTATGAGCAGGCCTTCTGTGACATTACCCATGTCAGGGGTTGGGGTCTGTTTTGTTCTACTGGGAGCAATGACATGGGGTTATATGATGGGTCTAAATTATCTCTGCCTTTATCTAGTACGAGTGCAATATTAGGTTCATACAGCAGCTGAGGGAGCGATCCAGATGAAGTGCTGAGTTTTATCATTTGTAATATAAAGGCGGATAGTAATTTAGAGAAGGCCTTTGTCCAACTCGTTATTAGCTTTGTTATTCGGGAACTATTTTATCACCTCTTGTAATTCCTACAAAGTAATTTTACATTAGAAATTTTCCTTGGAGATCCACATCGGCCATAAAATCATTAATCATTTCAGAATTACACATTAAGACAATTTTTAAGATTAATTCTTTAATATTGCATTTGAAGCTTGAGTTGAGCAAGTAGTTTGACTTTAATCTAAAAACTTGCATGACATGATTTGGGTTAATCCCTTAAATTGTAAAATAGTTTTTGCTTTAATATGCCAGTGTATCTGGACTGACAGAATTGTAGGCTATTATTTTCATGCCTCAGTGCCACAAATAGATTTCATATTATCAGAGTGTGAAGCAGCTCTGGCTGCTGGTAATTACTGTCTCTTCAATCTCCCTTTCTCTTAATTTGCCAGAGAGAACCAGTCTTGTTGTGATAGATGTATAGAGTCTTTCTCAAAGATATTAACCCCCTCAACTGGGTCTGACTCACTGGTGGATTCATTATTACAAGCTCATATTGCGCAGCTGAGTAGTGTTCAAACCCACTGAACATTTTAAACTCTAGATAAGATCCCAAACTTTCCAAAGATATAAATATATCAAGCTAAAATTTGGGGGAAATGTGTAAAAAATTATATTTTGATTTGATGTAATGGTGTCAAAGTACAGTACAGTATTAGGGCTGCAACTAACAATTATTTTCATTATTAATCAGGCTATTTTCTCAATTCTCAATCATTTGGTCTCTAAACATTAAAAATTCTAGAGCCATCAGATGTCTTGTTTGGTCCAACCAACAGTCCAAACCCCAAAAGTACTTAATGCACTGTAATATAAGACAAGATAAAGCATCAAATTCTCATATTTGAAGCTGAAACCAAAAATTTGGCAGTTTAGCGAGAACCAATTCATTTGCAACTGGTTACACAACAGAAAGACATAACTAGAATGGCTTTCAGAGACAAAACTAAACAATAGTAATTATGTTTATTTTAGTCAAATATTAGTGCTTATTCAAGTGTTTTGTAGCGCATTAAAGAAAGTTATGAAGGATTCACTGTCACAGAAAAATCACCAGGTGTGATTTGACATTGTTCAGTGTACAAAGGACTTTCATATCTAGGTTGTGCTGAGGCAGTTCAAAATCTCTCTCTGAGGGGCGGTGATCTGCTCAGCAGCAGGGCTGGAGTAAAAATGTGCACATCTCTGCATCTTGTGAAACAGCTGGTCATGCTGTTTTTAAATGAGGATTAATAGACTTACATCTAAGATAGAGGCTACTGACCAGTAAACACACGTGCTGTTTGTGGAAAAAGTCAGCAAGAACAGCAGTGGAATGGTAACGGGTTTGTTAAACAATTGGTACGTTTGTGTATAGTGAAAGAGATTTTTCATTTGGGGTTCTGAGGACAAAGTGAAAAGTACTTCTGAAGTGTTCTGGGTCAAATTCAACCCAACATAACCTCAGTGACATCTCACACACTCAACACTTTAACATTCCCATCAGGTGGCCGGTGATTGGCGCTGCCTGTCAGACAGTCCTGTAGATTTATGACGGCAGATCCTGATGGCCTCCCATGTCGCTCATTAGGCATCTGAACAAAGTCTTTGTCTCACTGGATTGTGGCGAAATTAATAGAGCTCCAAATCTGGGTTTTCAATCTGTACAACCAATACACTCTATCCTTAGACCCTCGTTCGGGTAAAGAAAAACCAAATGGCCTGGCTCTTAGTAAAAGTAATTTGTATGTACTGAACTTGGCTGGAAGGCACACATTACTGAAGAAGTTAATTACTGCGTAGGTGAAAAAGGACAACGGTGTGGTTATATATTATGAACTGCAGGGCACATGCAGCAACACTAGGGATGGCCAGATCAATACAAAGTGATGAACTCATATTCAGACACCGGTCAGTTCGCATTACCACCTATTAAAAGTATCAGTTTCAAAGATGGAAAATGTACTTTGTGGATTTCTGCTCTTCAATTGCTTATGTTTGTGTAAATGAGGAATGTAAACATGGCAGCTAAATGGAAATCAATTTAAGTGCGTGTGTAAAGTGATGACCTTCTTTTTCCATGTGATATGCAGTAGAACAAGTGTAAATGTTCATATTTGTTTAATTTAGATTTTAACTCATTTTGTGAAAAAGTTGACCTGTATATTAATAATTTCAATAGAATGATTGATTACTATCATGCAAAAAAAAGAACACAATCACTATCTGGAATATTGTAGCATGAAACATAATAGAACAGTAATAAATCAACGTAGATATAGAAAGTTAGATATACTGTCATTACATTTGTCTTTAATCTTTTTTTTTCCCAGTTTCTCTTTAAATAGTCTTCCTTAATTAACACCAACATCTCAAGACAGTATATATAACCAGCTTGGCTCTCTATGGGTTCACTTCACTGTTACCTCTTGTGTGTTACCTTAGATCTTTTACTTAAGTAAAAGTTCTAATGCCGCACTGTGAAAATAACCCACAAGTAAAATCCTGCATTCAAAACCTTTCTTAAGTCAAAGTATGCAGGTATTATTAGCAAAATTTACTATTAAAAGTACTCATTATGCTGTCAATGTATAATACTTCTGGATTAGTATTACTGTTGTGTAGGTTGTATTTTAGTGCTGTAGTTGTTTAAGCTAATTTGAACTTCCTTGCATATTGTTCGTATTCATGATGTCATGCATTATATTCTATAATAACAGTAGTTTATAGTGTTGCTATGTCAGATGTCAACTTTTCTGCTTTCAGCTTTGTAATGATGTATTTTCCAGATACGTGGTTTTCACTGGACAGGAAGGGTATGAAAGAGAACTAGTAAGTACGACAAATGTAGTTGAAAGTACAATATTGCAGATATTGTAGTGCAGTAGAAGTATAAATTTGCAGAAAATAGAAATTCTTAAGGAAAGTAAAAGTACCTTGAATTTATAACAGAACCATACTTGCTGCTTTCCACCACTTGTGTAATGCGTACAGTAACTAAGGTTACACATTTCTTTTGCTTTTCAGTCCTTGCTCTCCTCACTGCTGGTTGCCTGTAATGTTGCCAGTAAGGCTGGATTATCAGCCGGGCAATGCCTCCAGGCCCCCAGACAGCTCAATGTTCAAAATGCCAGGTCTGTAATATTAAAGATGTTGCAAATGTGTTTGGAAAATACAGAACTAATCACACATACCATAATGAGTTCTAGCTGAGGGCCTCTGTGTCAAAATCTACATGGTGTACATTCCTAAAGAGATTATAATTTTTATCCAACTCACCAGGGGTCAGTGGGTACCCACACAAATCATGGCCCTGAAGGCTCCTAGTGGGCTAATTGGGGATTGTCAGTGGAGGAATCTTAGCCATTTTACTAGCCAAATGCCTGAAATGTCAGGTATTTTTGGATATTGACAGCCCTGAGGATTGTCTCTGGTCAGTCCTGTAGCTGCTGCTACTGCCATCTTGTGGTAAATTTCTACCACTTCATACCTTTTTTTTTTTTTTTTTTTTTTTATCTCAAAACCACCATCGGCCTTACATTTTTAGTTGCAGCAAACTGACGTGAAAACAAACACATTAACTCTGGGAATTAGAGCAGGAGACAAAAATTTAAATGAAGAGCTCTTAACAGAAGTGTTGGAGGTGTCTGGGCACATATTTGAAAATCATTTGCAAATCATCTGGCCATGTGAAAAGATTAAGATATTTTGGGAGAACCTCAAGAGACATTTAGATTATGAGATCATCAAGAACAGCAACATATTTCATCTCTGATTGATAACGGATGAAGTAGCATTAAGAAGAAGCCTTCATCTCGGTTAAAATCTACTGGCTGCAGAAAAAAAAATGGAACCTCCCAGACTAAAACATTTGAATGAAAAACTGATGTTGGGAGTAATGGAAAACAGTCCCTAAAATGACATTATATCTGGATCCAGTAGCAGATATAATTGTTCATTATTAATGTATCCGTCAACAGCAATAACTCATGTTTGTGCCCATAAGAGGCGGCTAGTGTACAAACAAATAATGATACAGTAAAACAGTTGTAATAAAATGTCTTCATACAAGTTAAAACTGTTGACACTGCATCAATGAGCACAGTGTCAAACAAATGTGAAACTACTTTTCTTAGACAGATTTGTAAAAACAACACGACACATTTGACTGTGGATATTTCAGTAAGTAAGCTGCAGATATAACAACAGCGATAAATCCTTAAATCACTGATAGAAGTAGGAAAAAATGCACAGAGTTGGTTGTTTTTGACAGATGACATTTATTCTCACCAGGCATCTGACATTAGAATCGCTACAGAGTCTGTCAATTGAGAATGGCTACTAAAACTCCAGAGGGGAAATTCCCAGGATATGTGGAACAGGGACAGCATAACAAACAAAACAGAGAGGGTGGGGGACATAACTAACCGTAGGCCACTAAACATAATCTGCCACCTCACTGGAGGAAAAGGTCCGTCCACTTTTTTAAAGCACCTCTCGGTTCTCGTGTGAGACTGCGTTCAGATCGGTGGTCCCACAAAACTAACATTCAGTCAGATTTTTTTTTTTAAAAATACATTGTTTACATACACTAGATATGTACCCCAATAATGCCTACAACTGCTGTTTCACTGAACATTCATAAGTGACAGCACACAATCGCAATAAACAGATCAGTTACATCAGGGAGACCACAAGTGTCTCCAGGAAGTCCCCACAAGGATCTGAACTGGGAGACAGACATCGGTCAACATGGCTGGGCTTACAACACTGGCAGAGTCTGAAGGCCTCTCCTCTCCAAAAACAAAAAGATACTATTACATATATATACACATTGCTCGGTACTGAGCGGACTTCACCCGGAGTCCATGAAAAGAAGCCCTCTCATAGGGTTGAAGAAGGTGAGCGCAGCATGGGTGTTAGACGACAAGTCAGTAGTGTAGGTTCAGTGAGTGCTAACTGCAACATGTGAAGAGTGAGCATACGTTTTTACATAGGATGAAATAACATAGACAACAAGTGTAGAATATCCTCAAACATTGAACCTGCTCACATTTAAGAAGGATTAATTGTATCTCAAAGACTAATTATGTCGGTTTTCACAAGTGCGCAAGAGTTAAAGGAATAGTTTGACATTTTGGGAATTACGCTTATTTGCTTTCTGCCAGCAGTCAGTCAGCTTAGCTTAGCTTAAAGACTGGAAGCAAATGGGAAACAACTAGCCTGTTTCTGGCTGAAGGTAACAAAATCTGCCTAGCAGCACCTCCTTATCTTGTTTGTTTAATCCAGAAATTGTCATTTGTCATCTGCACAGATCAAACAATCATTAGTGAGCTCTAGAGGTGCTGTTGGTCAAATGTGTTGGAAGAACCAAGCTAGCCGTTTCCACGTTTCCACACTCTATGCTTAGCTAAGCTAACCAGCTGCTGATTGCAGCCTTATATTTAACAGTCTGATGTGTATCGTCAAACTCACATCAATTAAGCAAATAGGTGTATTTCCCAAAATGTCAAATCTTTGCTTTAAGTGGGACTGTTAATGTTCAGTGTGTTCTGTTCACGAGTGCAGTGCAGGACAGCAAAGACGACAAGTTTTCACAATTTTGGTCGCTGATCTTAAACAGCTGCAGAAATTGAGCAGCACAAAAGCAGGAGAGGAAAGTTAAGGGGAACGGTGATTTGTCTTTTTCACATACAGTAAAGCCACTTGTGTTATATGGTGGAGAAAGGGAGCACAGGGACATTGGTTCTGCTTCGAGTGCAACAATCCCAAGAAACCAGAGAACTGGGTTGCGAAGACCAGCTACCAACCCGTTAGCTCTGTCACCTTTTTCTCCTCTAACACTTACTCCCTATTTTTCCCTAATCTAACAAAACACACTGCTACCCTTTTCCGGGGTAACAGTGTGTCTGCAGGTGTACTTTATCCTGCTACAGCGCTAAACAGAGCTGAGCAGCATAGCTATTGATAGTGTGTTTGTCGGGTTCAACTCTTCTAAAAGTTCTTATCATGATCCACAGTGACATATTGTCTACAGCGCAAAAGACAAAAAGATGAGTTTATGCTGCAAAGAGTCATTAACACTATGGTGAACGGCAACTGATTACCACGACCCTCTGAGCATACAGAGTCTAAGAAAAAGAATTATTATGCTAGTTTAATGTTTAATGTCCTGTTGGGTCAGTCATACAGGTTACATGGCATAGAAGGTACGCGTTTTAGGAGTCAGCATTGGGCTTGATAAGTTAGGAGTCAAAGTGCAGGGCAGCAGCATCAAAAGATGCTGTTAATATCCTTCCAGAATCAAACCCGGCAGGTGGCGCTGTGTTCAGTTACTGGCCACCTCGTCCGCATTGTCAACCACCTCTATGGTGCTGTCCAGTCCACCACGTGCACGCCAGATCTTCACAGTCCGGTCACTGGAAGACAGGAACATGAAACATAATTCAGATGCACACAGATAGCAAGCTACTTGTTTGATGCTACATAATCTTGCAGACCCTAGTTGATGAATAAAACTCTGGTCAGTCTCTGTTGACTTAAATGGATGTATTTTTATTACAGAACAAAAGCCGACACCACACACATCGAGTACCTTTTACTAGCCTCGATATACCCATGAAAACACCAAAATCCAGTCAGAACAAGTTTCCAACAAGCATATCTCAAGAAATGTATCCTAAAAATAACAGACATAGAAATTGTGTGTTGGTGTGTGTGCGAGACTCACTCTGAGGCGGTGAACAGGTGGCTGCTGTTGGTAGAGATGCTGTTGATGGGGCTCTCGTGACCCTTCAGCTCCCCCAGAGTCCCCAGAGTGTCTGTGTGCCACAGCTTGAGCACCCCACCTCTGCAGCCGCTCAGCAGGGCTGGGGACCCAGGGACAACACCCAGCGCACACACCCAGTCACGGTGGGCGTTCGGGACTTGCTGTTGGCGAGAATGATTAAAGATTTTACTCTAGGGTCTACTGAAAATTTGCATGAATGACACTAAGTTTCTTAAACTTTACCCTGACTTGTGAGGGCTTGGTACTCTCATAAGTAGGACAGATAAACTAAACAAGTCTCTCTGCAGATGACGTTTGTAGTAATGCTCATGTGGTTGACATTGTCCTTCTCAGCCTGGTTATAGTTGGTTCATTAAACTTACCAAATTCTGTCGGACATACACCAAACCAAAAGCTTTAAGTGGAGTTGCTCTTTTAAAGAAAATACACCCTCCACTTTGTTTAATACTTTAAAAAAAAATCGCAGATTCACAAGAAGATATATGAAGGAGTCATGGTGGCACACACAATATACACACACATACGTACATATATAGCATATTAATGGGTCTTTTTGCTTTGCGTTTCTTTTGTATCTTGTTTTAATGCCTTTTCATGTGTTATGTAAAGCACTTCAATGGCGTTGTTGAAAGATGACGCAAATAAACCTACACTGCCTTCCTCAACCTTCAATCCAGAACTGTGCATCAAACACCAAAATATTTCATTGCATCCCTACTGATCAGCTTCTCCGCAGTCTTTGTAATGTATCCAGTACCTGCAGCAGGTCTTTGCGATCCAGGTCCCACTTCTTGATACCGTTGTCTCGAGAGCCGCTGAAGAAAATGTCCCCCTGGACCACCAGTGACTCGATTCCATCGTAATGGGGAGGTTCAAAGTTGTGTGTTGGGCTGATGCTCCCCAGAGAGCCTTCAGTCACATCAAACAGCTGGAACAGCCAGAGTGTTGCATGTTAAAAGGTGTATTGCACTTTATTGTGAAATTTTATATATTATACACACACACACACACACACACACACACACACACACACACCTGCAGCAATTTCTGTATTTTCAAAGAGGATTGAATATTATTTTTTTAATACCCAAGGTAATCATGATAGGTTAATCTGACAAGAATGAATAACTCCCACAGTCTTGATATTGTGTCCCTGAATGCTTGAACAGATCATACGTCATAATCACATAAATAATCTTATCTTTATTAGACAGGGCTCACAGGAATCATTATGTTAATTCCAGAGTATGTGCTGTAATATGTAAATACAGGACACAGAGAGGAGAACAAAACACACCTTGATGTAGTGGTCCTTGGACCCAGTGATCACCAGGTCTTGGTTGTTTCCAGACCGATCCACAGTCAGGCACATCACTGGACCGAGGTGACCAGTAAGTTTCCCTGTGGATGCAAATCTGACAAAGAGACAAATTATTTATAAAAAAAAGAGTCAATCATTTCACTCCCAGTCTGTAAGTTTGGGTCACTACCATGAATTACATTAAATTATATCAGACGTCCAAAGGTTATGGCGCCTACACTGACTTATTTCATGAATAATTCACTCATGTAAAAAAGTGTCTTGTTGGTGTTGGGAGTCTGTTAATTGAGTTCAGAGCATTCAATCAGCCAGACTTCAGGTTATCAACTGTTTACAAAGAGGCAATTCATCAAAATGTATACCAGCTGGACAGCTTTGAATTGGATACCTGACAGGTTTCACATTGAATCAGGTCTTTCAAGTGTGCAACATCAAGAAATCGGGCTTTGATTTAACTCGCGGCGTGTGTTATGCATCTCAAAATAGTGCAGCAGTGTCAGAATGAGCACAGTAAAAAAATAAATAAATAAATAAAAAATCAGGGAATGATGAAACAGATTGGCATCATGGATTCATTTGTGACTGGACAATAGTTAATCTTAAATTGACTTTGCAGCTATTTTGACTGAACAAATCTACTAAGTCAGTTGGTCTAAAGCCCAAATGATCACTATGCAGTATCACTGAACCTTTTCTGACCAGTCATTTAAATTTAGCCCCTCTTCTTACCTTCGTAGATCCCAGACTCTGACTGAGTTTCCGGCGGCAGCGTACAGGACCGTCCCGTTAGGGTTGAGAGCGATCTGGTTGATCTGATTCTCTCCTGCTGGGATGGTGACCGTTCGGCTGGTGTTAGACGCACAGACTTCCCCAACACTAACCTGACCAGACGACCTGAAGATACATGAATGAGATATGTAAAATACAAAATGTTTTGTCTGTCAAGAAATCCTTATGAAATAGGTAAAAACTGTTGTGCAAAAAGAATCCCATTACAGATTTACATAACAGATGTGAAGTATTAATACTTTGACAGACAGAGCTGAAGCATACTGATGAATTTCAGTGGTATTTTTAAATCTACATTTAGGAATTAGCTACTTCTAAAAAGGTCATTTGAGGCCTACTTAAAACGAAAATCCTTGGATGATCAGAGGTGGTGATGGAGCAGTGGATAAGACGCATGCCTTTGGTGTGAGAGATCTGCGTTCGAATCCCACTGTGACCCATCCACCAATGTGTCCCTGAGCAAGACATTTAACCCCTCGTTGCTCCAGAGGCATGCAACCTCTAACATATATAGCAATTCTGAGTCGCTTTGGATAAAAGCGTCAGCTAAAATGTAAGTGTAATACATGTGTGCAAAACAACACAAATGCATAATACATTATGTGAAACACAAGTTCTACCACATGTACAATGAGTGAAGAACGCATGAAGAAGAAAAAAATGTTTCTTCAATTTATAGCCATTTTTCATTTCAATTTCGACAGATTAAGCTCCTTCGGTCAGGCCAAAACACAGCAGCCTAAAACCCGTTCAGGTGGTCACACTCACGTTAGTGTTCGGATGCACTTGGCTGAGTCCCGGATGTCCCAGACTTTGATAGAGGAGGTGGAGACGGTGAAAACCAAACTGGAGCTGTAGCGGACTGACACCACGTTGTTCGGGTGACCAGCCAGGGACATTATCTCCTGACCCGTCACCAGATTCCACACCTTACAGGTCCGGTCTACAGGAGGACAGGCAGTATGTCATCTACATCACCAGTTAATATATATATTTATAAGCACAGGGAGCATGCTGAGAAAGAAGTAAAAACTCGAGCAACAGAGAACAGACCAAGACTGATTTATCCACATACTGTGCACACGGCAGTCTTGGTTAATCCCTGTCAGGTTTTGTTTGTCGTTATATAACAGCATGTCAAAGTGTAATAAATTGCCAGCGCCATAACTAGCAGACGTGAGGAATACTAATTAGCGTGAAGAAGTGAAGGGAGGACGGTAGGAGGGAGGATTGTGGGTTTTAACCTTTGGATCCGGTGAAGAGAAGGTCATCAGTGCAGTCGACACAGAGAACAGCTTTACTGTGGCCCTCTGCCACATGGACACACTGTAATGTCGCCTGCCGACTGCTCTTAGTAGCTGGCACCGGGTTAATGACGCCCCTGGAAAACACACACACACACACATCAATAGATGCAGCACGGACACAACTTTGTCTAATAATCTGAGTGCACACCCACATAACCAGAGTTATGCACAGCATGCAACTCCCGTGGCTGATTAGGACGATGCTGCAAACCAAAAACACAAAGAGATGACAGTAACAGTCCTTAGAGAAAAAGTGGACACTGGGAACAGAGTCACCGTTAGAAGAAAAGAAAAGCCAAGATTCCTTAAGGAGCTTCTCTTTGAGTCCAGAATAGATAAAAACACCCAATGATGCAAAGACAGACGATAACTGGATAAAGTGGTGTTCATAAGGGACCACAGCCTAGATCAATCATTAATTGGCTGGTTGTGTTGGCAAATTAGCATCTAGTAGTGTAATTGTTCAATTACTACTCTCTAACAGTTGTAGCTATCAGTATCAGTGGAGCAGCAGGATGAGCTGATTGTGTGGCACAGATCCAGACATCAATATTCAGGAGTTGATTGAATGAGCTTTAAAAAGGCCTCCTGTGTGCAGAATAAAAACTAATGAAAAGAGAGGATTATTGAGGGTTCAGATTCATTATCAGTAATAAGCTTGACAAGATGACACTGTTTAGGTTTATTGTAATTGTCTACTGATCCGAGCGAGCGTAACTACCTAACTACCTACGCACAATTACAGATAATCTCACCCTGGACACAACCTGTTCCAACTTCTCCCCTCTGGTAACCGCTACAGAGCACCGTACGCCAACCAACAGACTCAGAACAGTTTCTTCCCATAAACCATAAGTCTGAGGAACAGCTGACTCTGACTCACATGTCAGGAACAATTTCTGTGCAATAATTCCTGTTTACTGGCTACCACTTACCATTTATTTATTTATCATTCTCTATTTCAGAGCTGTTCTTACTGTTCATATTGTATATTATACTGTATACCAAATCCACCTACCTCATGTACATAACACCACACATAATACTTATATATTCCAGCATCCTTTGCACTCATCCCACTGTGTACATGTATGCTTGTATGTGCACCTGTATATCACATCCACATCTGACATGTACATAATAATGGTAATAATTTACTCGTGCATCCTTTGCACTCTGCTCATGGCACGACTGCACTATTGTCTCAATCTGTCTGTTCTGTTTATAGTGTCAATATATGTGTTCTCTATACTGCAGCCTGTGTGTGATTTAATTACTGTTATTATTGTGTTAATGTATAAGTAAGCGCATCGTGAGCATTCTACAATCCAGAGTCAAATTCCTCGTATGTGTACATATACCTGGCAAATAAAGCTGATTCTGATGTTTAAGTCACTTTAACCGTTCATGTCTGGTTAAATCTAGTGTTTTGTTAGTCTTATGATTTGTCAACGCAAACAGTGTAGGTCACGATAAGAAAAAGATTCCACACCACGTGCGTCTGTGATTCAGATTCACCTTTGCTCTGTACACCAAAAGGTGAAATTTTAGTGAACTATATGACAAATAAAAAACAAAAAGTTGTACTTGGGTGGACCGGCGAGAGGAGGGGAAACAGAACGGAGGATGCGGTTGGAGGACAAGTGGTGACATCCATCCGTCCTGGAGGGGAAAAGAATATAAGATATTCCCGAGACCTGATTAACTATTGACTTAAATGCTAATTAGTTCCCATTTTTATCAAAATCCTTAATTGTTTTTACATAATTCCATATTGGGTCCAACTTAACTTCAAGAAGAGCTAATTCTAGAGTGAAACCATGTACTCATGAGAGGGGAAAGCATATACAATAATCATGTAGCTTTAGTCTGACAAAATGTCACTCCTTGTATATAATCAAAAGCCATACCAGTGGTTTAGCATGCCTTAGCAAAAGATATTTTCTACCTTCCATGTATCCAGTTTGAAAATCATCATGGTGAAAGTTTAAACTCAGGTGAATTTATGTTCCATCCATGTACATTACATTTTTTGTGTCATGTCACACAGGCCGTGCCCAAAATCAGTTCCTATTTGAAATTTTGTATGTATTTATTTGTTAACCCTGTTATTTCATTTGAGTGTCTAATCTCTAAGTTTAGAATATATGCACTATAAAGTGACATCCATGGTATATACACATTACCTTTAGCTACAAATTCCACAATGCAATGTTTTAAATTTAATAGATATGTAAATTACAGTTATGCACTGCTGTACCTCTCAGTGATTGTGCGTTCGGAATCTCAATGTAATCCCAACTAGTAAACTATTGAGTGCTTAGAATAGTGATTGAGTGAACAGGGGAGTGATTTCAGACACAACCACGGTAATGCATTTGCAAGTAGAGAACACCTTATTTTGAAAACACTCCTACATTCTGAATTTATGGGCTGCCTGCAAAGAAACACTGCATTGTCGCATTGAGAAGTTGGTGTGTAATCAGGAAATCAAATCCAGCAGGAAAAACAACAAGCAAATGTAATTAGAAGGACAATCTGAAGTTGACTGTTTCTTGGATAGAAAATGCCTTCTGGCACCCTGACTTTAAAATGCTTGAATGCTCCAATAAAGACCACAATCCTTGCTTACTTACTACTATGCAACAATGTAACATGAAGAAAACAAGACATTTACGGCTAATGGATTACCTGTCATCAACAAATCTGTGCAAATAGATTTTCATTTCTATTCACTGAACTGAAATGGAAATGTAATGGCTACATGGAAGGTGGAAAACAAAGATTCAATCCTACAGTATGCTTTGCAAAATGGTCAGTAGTCATGTGCATTGAAAGAGTCAAACAATACCAATACTTTGCTATACCACTAGTATGATCTTGAATAGTTTTATGATATTTTTAGGGTCCATTTTGATACAATGTGCACTTTGGATTTCTACAAAATAGCAATCAAAATGATAATACTACCTTGAGAAAGCTAGTTTTTATCATAACACTCCAAAAACTATATTAATGTGTTCGTACTGCTACAGATCTACATGTATGTCTCGTGTCTACATTAACAGGACATACAGTACCTACTGTAACTTGGGAAATAAGACAAACTGACAGATTTTGCAGTGCAATGCTGCCGCTCATCCTGGAATTTTCCCCAGACTTTAATCTGACTCTCTGGCAGGTTTGTGTCAATTGTACTTATCTCTGGTTCTTACTTATCCTGCAAGGCATTTGCAGTACGCCCCAAATACCCTGTCACACTGCTAAACACAGCAATGTGGTTACAGGGACGAGCGGTTGGGGAGAGGGGAAGTGGTGGGCTGCTCTTCAGGCTCCTGATGACTGGGCTGTGAAGGAAGACAGTAGGGCTGCCAATTAAGCTGCAGCATAATTAAAGTGTGTGCTAAGCTGTTTACACACTACTGGCAGGAGTGTGGGAGGACTGCATGAGGACAGAAGGGAGACGCATATGCTGCATTCATGCCATGGGAGCAACTGTCAGGACAGCTTGACAGGAGAGTGTTCACGTGTTCATACTCATCTGAAGCTATAAAGAGCTATAAAGGGAGAAGCTTTCCTGTTCAATGTGGTTTACTAGATTTTTCAGCCTGTGGATATTTCAGGCCAGGATAATTCTGTCAAGATATGAAAGTTCCTGTCCCACCAGAGTTGCAGAAAAACATTTCTTAATACATTTACATTTACAGTACTTATCCGAGGGATGTAGTATCCTGGTTACAGTGAAATGCATTAAGTCAATTCAACTTTAGTTAAATAGCCCAAAATCACAAATTATTATTAACATACTACCCTTGAACCCTTTTTTAATATTGTAAATCTTCTTTTGGAGGCTTTTAACTGTAAACAGAAAATTGTTTACCAATTTTTGGTATGAAAATAGTACTAGCATATTGTACCTTATTTCAAAGTATCTTCTATCAGCCACTTAAATCTAAAGCAAAGCTAGTTTTAATGCACACACACACAAGAAAATTAAGAGAGACTAGAAATTAGATTCTTATCCTTCACATCTAGCCTGAGGGTGTGGGGCAGATTAAATGCCATGTTGTAACCTAAAGGGTTCCTTTCCTCTGGGTTGTCCTGGTAGCCTAGTGGTCAAAAAACGTATTTCATCATCACTTGTTCAATTCTAGTCAGGAACTCAAGATTCCAGTCTGTCTCTACTACCTGCTGTTTATAAAGGCTAAAAAACATCTTTAAAAAAAAAGGAATAAACATGCATCCGTGCCATCAGAAAATGACAAGCAATGAAATGTATTTCTTTTGTTTGTTCTATGTAAATAAAGAAATCACACTCCGTGATGGAGGCGCTCTGAAGGCATGAAGTCAGACAGAGTTTCCAAATAGTGTTAACCACTGGAGATTTGACATTGACAGTTTTTTCTCTGTATAGAAAATGCCATCAACTGGCTTTGCCATATGACATGAATGCAGCGATAGTCAGGACTCGTATCAACCCCATACACACACAGACCCATGAGTGCAGAGTGAATGTAAAGAAAATGTAGTTTCAAGTGGGCAAAAATATGTTTGCACATCTTGCCAAGGAAAGCCTAAAAACTCAAATATTAAGACGATTAGTAACTATTGTCAATAGTCATCACCAATGTAAGATTCAGTTATCAGCTGTATAAATTAATCTACAGTATTTCAGTACTATATATCTTCAGACAGGACGTCAGGGACTAGAAATGTTTTTGACATGTAAATACGCGTTGAGATCATATATAGCACACAGCAAATTTTACAAAAACAGCTTACTCAGCACGTTCTTCCATTTCAGTCTCACACACAAGAATTTACTGATAAGACCAAGAAAGGAAAAATTCAGTGGTTTCTTCAATAAGTAGAATGCTTATCTTTAGTAGATCAACAGCAGAAACACTGATTAGCACCAATTTGAGTCAAAACCATTAGGAGTGAAAAAAGAAAACGTCCCCATTATGGCTCAATAAAGAGACATAATATCCAAGTTAGGTAAGAATAATACGATTCAACATTCAACATAGAACTTGGCAGGTGAAAGGTTATCCCACCAGGCACAGAGCATTTTTGATTTAGTTGATTTAGAGACCACATGCTTCTCTAAAGCAGGAAACCGAGAGGAGTATTATTAGTAGAGTTGAAGTGAAGTTATTTATATTTTTCAGCTTTGCAGCCACAATGTCGGCATCAAGCTCTTACTGTTTAATCTCCTTGACTTTTGCCCTGTCGGCAGCTGCGTGTGCCTTGTCGTAGGTCTTCCTGCGAGAGAGCGGGGAGGGCTCCGGCGCTCGCTTTTCCACCCCAGACGAAGTTCTGGAGCCAGAACTGACCATTCAGTTTCATATAGTTACCCACAAACGACACAAAGAATAATAATAAAACAACAGAAGAATGTGAAACCAAACATAAAATAATGGTAACAATGAAGAGATGAGCATGCAGTACACATAGAAACACAGTTACCTGATATTTAAAGTCCCAAAACAGTGGTGGTTCTTCGCCAAGCTCATTTTTAACTACTCAGGACTGTGTAGATTTTGCGTTACACTAAAATATAATTCTATTACTTTACTTGCTGATGCGCTGTCAGCCAAGGCTCTTTAAAAAAAATATACAAGTCAATGTGCACTTAGAAGCAGGGTCTTTTGCAGGTCAGTTAAAGCAGTCTGGTTAGTATCTTTGCTTTCAGCGTGCAACTAAGCTGTAATGAGGAATTAGAAAGGCACTTTGTGCAGGGAACAGTAATAAATGAGCCATATAAATGTTAATATTGGCCCCTTTACCTCAAAGGACTCATCAGTTGGAGGAAGGTATAGCCATTTGATGTAAGGATGCTAATGAATAATGTAAAACAAAATTAAATAAAGCGGAGGACATAGCAGCAACATCAAACATGCAGGAAGGAAGGAAGTAGCAATCACTGTGTTAGCAGAAGAGTGCCGGGCCTAGACTTACATGCTGCCCATTTTAGAGGAAAAGCCGGGGGAGAGAGCTGTGTAGTCCCTGACTGATGAGCCTGATGAGTCCATGTCTCCTCCCCCATCTGGTGTTTCAGCTAAGGGCAGCATCGGACTGGAGAAGTCTGCAGTGGGTGCGTCGGGGGCGGAGTCACTGTTTGCGTACAGCAGCTCCATCTGAGTGGTGGTTCTTCTACGAGCCTGTACAGCACAGATAAGTGAAATTAAGACAGGAAGTAATTGGGGAAAAACTAGTATATGACACATTAAGCCATTAAACATTGTAATACCTTATTTCTCGTTTTGGTGTCACCACAGAGTTTCATGAGATCTGATGCCAAGGTGCTGGGAGGAAGACATGAGTTTTATATACGAGTATTATGGACTTTTGTAAAAACACACAGTGCATAAAACAACACAAAACAGAACACAACAAAGATATGAACTAAACAACATAAAACATAACACATAAACACAAAATAATGTAACATAGCATAATATAAACATTTCATAAGCTATATAAAGATAAGTAACAATAAATAAGAAACATAATGATAACATAATGCAAAGCAACATACATAGCATAGTACATCATAAGTCAGCATAACATAAGCACAACATAAAATAAAATAAACTCACTTTCCCTCTGCAGAAGGGCTCTGGGCAGACTCATCACTGCTGCTATCATCCCCATTTTCTGTCAAATGAGATCAATGAATAACATAAGAGTTGAAAGAAAACCATCTTGGCCGACTGAGATGACTGCTTATGACTTTCTAAAATGGTTCTTAGCAAGTACACCTTGCCTACGACTAAATAATTTATCCTTCAGCTCACTTTCGCTAAAGGGTTGTGTGAAGCAATTTGTTTGTCTTTCATTAAATAGCTGCACAAAATGGATATAGGAAAGAACAAGTGAAGCAGATGAGGGCGATGTCAGCACAGCGCCATGCTGTTTTATCGACAAACAGAAACTTGCTCCTCACTCAATGGAATCAGATGGATTGAAAAGGGTGAGGGGTCAGAGAGCAGTCAGGTGGGGAGGGATATAAAGAGAGATGTGTGGACGAGTTGGGGCAAAGGTAAAAGACCTGATATGAGACAATAAGGTGGAGGAGTGTGAAGAATCATTAGTCCGTTGCTCCAGGTGGGGTCAGCTGACCTACAGGGTCCAACAGAGCTATAATATCCACGGTGTATGGTTCCTGTGGAAGGGTCTGGGGTTAGCGGGGTGCTAAAGCATGGAGGCTGTAGCACATGGTGAGCTAGGAGGAGCAGCAGGAGGAGGTAGAGTGTATCCAGATGAAGGGACGGGAAGGAGAGGTCAGCAGACAGATGGAGGGAAGCCTTGTTGCATTGCACCTCATGCACCTGTTCATGTTATGTTTAGTTAGTTTTCAAAAGTCAAAGGGAAGGAACCATGCATTCATAACACAGATAAGAGTCTTATATGGTTTCACTTACCAGCCGGGATGTTACCTAGCTCTGCAAAAACATAAGAAAACAAAAAAGAAAAACGTGGGGGAACAGAAAAGGCAATACACAAATCAAAACTTAGTCCCCCAAAATTCTAAAAAACAAACAAACAAAAAGAAAATAAAGTGCAGCTACAGTAAACAAGAGTCTCCTACTGAACAGAGGCTGGCAGAAATACTTTTACAATCACAACACAAACATTGGCGATAAAACCAACTCTGTAGCCTATAAATGTAAATGTTTTTAGGAATTTGGATAACAGTAAAACTATCTTTGTACCAGAGTTTAACAGGGGAATTATGTATCAGTTATAAAATAATTAGGCCAGCTTCTATTCAGCAGAAGACAACAGGCAGGAGCATGTCAATGGGCCCAATCATGCAACTGACCAGTAATCCAGTCCACTTCCTGAAAGGTCAAATGCTTTGTAACAGATACGTGGAAAGACTTACATCATCATCCCAGAATACAATCTGAATCCCAGTTTTACTTTACATGATATTAATGACACTCACAGGAGGTGGACTGGGTTAAACTAGGGGTCTGGTCCGTATTTTGGGTCCTTGTCTCCACTTCTATCTCAACCCAAACAGAACTCTTTTGTTACCTTGCAGTGCATTCCCCAGCAGCGCGTCAAGCTCTGGGTTAAACTCGGCCTTCTCCTTCAGCATGTGAAAGAGCAACTGGTTCTGTGTGGCGCTGGTGATCTCGGTCTGCTTCAGCCTGCCCTCCATCACCTTCACCTGAGACTCCTTCTGTGCTGCCTGGAGACCCTGAAGGGGTGAGAGCGTAGACATTACACAATGTTTATAGTGTTATTCACTGTCCATCTCAAAATCACACCGACATCTTGCATATGGTTTAATAACTGCAAATATAGAGTCATGTATCGGTTTCAAAACTTATGCAGTAATAACAATGTTAAAAAATGGCAAAAATGTATCAGGACTATATTTATTAAATAGCATCATTATGATGTAAATGTATCAGATTTATCCAAACGGCAAATTTTCTTCTGCAGTCCCTGACTAGGATGATGTTAAAAAAGTAAAATTGCCTGATTCAGGTTGAAAAATCAGTCTGTATGTACCCAAGAATTCTTGGCTTTCTTATTCACGTTTCAGGTTGCAAAGCTGTTATAAGCACAGACAGTGGTGATTATTCCCAATGAACACTGTTATTAGGGCTGGTACCTTGTTGATAGCCATTGACATGAAGTGATCCAATAGAAAACGAGCTTCTGTCAGGGTACAGGAACCAACAACAGCAGAGATGTCCACTGTGTCGCCTTCCTCCTGGATAAAAACAAAAAAGTGAATTTATAAAACTTCAACAAAAAATAAATAAAATAAACGTGCTGGATATGTGCTAAGAACACTTTCATCACATCAAAGTTTGGCGAATTAGAAACCCCTGTTAAGCTGTTCCTCCATCATTTTTACTGAATCTATTTAACCAGCCAGTACAGCTAAAACATTTTTTTTTTTCAATTTTCCAATTCCCAATATTCTCAGTCTGTCTCACCTTGGTTTCCTCCATCTGCATGATGTTGGCCTGACAGTCTGCGATGCTGTCATTGATGTAGTCAATGTTGGCCGTCAAAGCATCCACTTCCTCGTTTAGGGGAAGCACTGCCTTCTCTGCCTCTGGCCCCTCCCTGAGCACCCTGTCCCTCTTCCTGATGACCTTCTCTTTGCGCTTGGTCAGCTCCTCTCGTTGCTATGATCAGAAACACACTGACTTGTAAGAAAATCAACAGAACTAAACAGATTTCAGTCCATGGAGTTATTTCTAAATGTATACATGATAAACCGCTGTGGAATAACAAGAAAGGATCTTGAATTTATTTTTAAAAAAAATGGAAACCAGGAAGTAACAGACACTTTCAACACAAAATTATTCCAGGTTTTGCTTTTGTTACCCACTGATCATGATGAATCATGCAACAACAAGATGATGTAGCAGTAATTAAAGCCTCCTCCAAGGTCAGGTTTTGATGCCATTTTTCCAAAACAACCTCTCAGTTCTTACTGACTCAACAGTAGAGACTGGAAATATGGCACAAAGACACGTCAACAGCCCCCTCAGTCATCTGCCAGACGCTTCTCCAATTCCAGACCATTTGATTCAGAATTTAGTGGAAAATTATTAGCAACAGAATTATGTATTATTATGTATACTTCTGTTTTGGCATTTTACTGTACAAAACAAATGTAAACAGCAGAATAGCCAACATGAATGTAATACTATTTGGAAGGTATATTGTGGTTTTGTACTTTGTATGCCATTTTGGTAATATCAGTGTCATAAAGTGGGGCCAAAAAGTATTTAGTCAGCCAATGATTGTGCAAGCTCGCCTTCTTAGAAAGATGAGGTCTGTAATTTTCATCATAGGTACACTTCAGCTATGAGACACAAAATGAGAAAAAAAAAAAAATTAAATCCAGGAAATCACATTGTAGGATTTTTAAAGAATTTATTTGTAAATTATGGTGGAATAATACGCATTTGGTCAATAACAAAAGTTCAACTCAATACTTTGTAACAATCTTTGCTGGCAATGACAGAGGTCAAACATTTCCTGTAAGTCTTCACCAGGTTTGCACACACTGTAGCTGGTATTTTGACCCATTCCTCCATGCAGATCTCCTCTAGAGCAGTGATGTTTTGGGACGGTCAGTGGGCAACACGGACATTCAACTCCCTCCACAAATTTTCTATGGGGTTGAGGTCTGGAGACTGGCTAGGCCACTCCAGGACCCTGAAATGCTTTTTATGGAGCCACAGTGTGTTTGGGATCATTGTAATGCTGAAAGACCCAGCCACGTTCCATCTTCAAGGCTCTCAATGATGGAAGGAGGTTTTGGCTTTAAATCTCACGATACATGGCCCCGTTCATTCTTCCCTTAACACGGATCAGTTTTCCTGTCCCCTTTGCAGAAAAACAGCCCCAAAGCATGAGGTTTTACTCCCCCATGCTTCACAGTAGGTATGGTGTTCTTGGGATGCAACTCTGCATTCTTCTTCCTCTAAACACAAGTTGAGTTTTTACCAAAAAGTTCTATTTTGGTTTCATCTGACCACATGATATTCTCCCAATCCTCTTCTGGATCATCCATATGCTCTCTGGCAAACTTCAGACGGGCCTGGACATGTACTGGCTTAAGCAGGGGGACACGCCTGGCACTGCAGGATTTGAGTCCCTCTCGGCGTAGTGTGTTACTGATGGTAGCCTTTGTTACTTTGGTCCCAGCTCTCTGCAGGTCATTCATCAGGTCCCACCGTGTAGTTCTGGGATTTTTGCTCACCGTTCATGATCATTTTGACCCCACAGGATGAGATCTTGCGTGGGGCCCCAGAGCGAGGGAGATTATCAATGGTCTTGTATGTCTTCCATTTTCTTACAAAATGCTCCCACAGTTGATTTATACACACCAACCTGCTTGCCTATTGTAGATTCACTCTTCCCAGCCTGGTGCAGGTCTACAATTTTCTTCCTGGTGTCCTTCGACAGCTCTTTGGTCTTGGCCGTGATTGAGTTTGGAGTCTGACTGCTTGAGGCTGTGGACAGGTGTCTTTTATACAGATAACGAGTTCAAACAGGTGCCATTAATACAGGTAACGATTGGAGGACAGAAGAGCTTCTTAAAGAAGAAGTTACAGGTCTGTGAGAGCCAGAAATCTTGCTTGTTTGTGGGTGACCAAATACTTATTTTCCACCATAATTTACAAATAAATTTTTTAAATCCTACAATGTGATTTCCTGGATTTTCTTTTCTCATTTTGTCTCTCATAGTTAAAGTGTAAAATTACAGACCTCTCTCATCTTTCTAAGTAGGAAAACTTGCACAATCAGTGGCTGACTAAATACTTTTGGCCCCACTGTAAGTACAGTAGAGTCATATTTATTACAACCTCAGACTGGCCAAGTTTTTCACTGCTTCCACCTACAAGAAGCTACACTCAGCAGGTTGACAGTCGATATTGAGGTTGCCTTTACAGGAGTTTCTTGCTGGTGTCAAAGTTTCGAGCTGATAATATTCTGGTCATTATGCGTCTTTCGTTCTGTAATTGATATATCAAGACAAAGTAACACCAACATACCAACGTACTGCTGTAGCTTTACCTTGAGGAGGCGGTTCATGTCGGCCTCCATGTTTGAAATGGTCATCCTCTGCATGATGACGTCAGAGATCCGTCGCTCCAGAGACTGCCATTTATTGCGGGCGACTCTGGTGGAGTAAACACCCACTGTGCGCCTGTAGGAAGACCTGCACACACACACAGCGTAAGACAATAATGTGAATGATTGATTTGTCAAAAGGATTTAAAGGAGATGGTATTATGCTTATTTTCAGGTTCAAAATCTTATTTAAGGATTGTACCAGAACAGGTTTACATGGTTTAATTTTCTGAAAACACCATATTTTTGTCATAGTGCACATTGCTGCAGCTCCTCTTTTCACCCTGTGTGTTGAACGCCTCGTTTTAGCTATGGAGTGATACATCCTGTCTCTAAATGATCTTTGTTGGGAGTTGCACATGCGCAGTTCCTAGTTAAGGACTACTAGCCAATCAGAAGCAGAGAAGGGCGGGTCAGTGAGAAGCAAACACGGCTGCGGTCCGGTGGATTTCAGGTGTAAGAAAGGGAATTTGTGAGCAGATGATAGCGAGGTAGAGGAGGAAGAGAGCCACATGTTTAATAATGGCATTTGTGGAGCTTTTTCGCTCAAATGCAACCTGTGTGTCCAGACTGAGGTCGCATTTAAAAAGATCTGGACCACATATGGAAGTGGCCCAATTCCGAACTGGAAAAGATCAGATTCCATGTGACGCCCTGTTCACACAGTCATAAAAAGATCAGATCTGAGTCACATATGGGCAAAAAAAAAAAAAAAAACGATTTGGGTCACTTTGGCCTACAGTCTGAACGTAGCCATAGACTGGAGCAAGAGTGGTGAGTTATTAATCTGTAACAAAAGTATCTTTCGTCCATAAAGTTTTAACTGAGTCTCTACATCACAGAAACATGTCCATTGACTGCCTGGAGGGTATCTCGTGTTTGGAAGGGAGAGGAGAGGTGTGCTGCAGCTCAATGTTTTTCCACCTGTGTTTTTGAGGGCGTGTCGGACTAGCTATATGAGGTGCATTCAGCTTTCATCCCTGTGTCGTCACAAGGATGAAAGGGAAACAGCTGGACTACAAACAGCTGTTTCCAGGCAGCTCAGAGCAGAGTTTTCTGTGAGAGATGGGAACTCCCTTAGGGCTGGACTTTGGGCTTTTTCACTTTGCAAACCTATTACATGCACAGAAAAGGTATATAACTCAATAAAGGAGAGGGAAAAAGCCAAAAAGCATAATACCACCACTTTAACACTTTTGATCACATTCAGGGATGATGTAAAAGAGCTCATGAACATTTTCTGGAGCTGGTTGACAAGGAGTCTGCAGTAGAGGCAGGAAATCAGTATATAATACACCACCTACAATTGTGGGATAGCATAAGGTGATATTTGCGTAAATACCTGAAATTATAAGAATATCTACCATACAGATGTAAATGTAGAGTCGCACGTACTAACAACAACATGCACACACACACACACACACACACACACACACACACATCTTACTGTTACCAGGACTAATTATACTCTGTTGATAAGAACTACTTCTCATTCCACCTGTCAAAGCTACATCTCTGTGAAGAAGCTTCTTTGAAGCAAGCCACTGCAGCCCTTTACATTTAGTGTGATGTCTTATGCAGCTATTATTTGGAATTGGTAAGCCTATAAAGCCTACTCTTTATTTCCCTCATAAATACAGAAAAAGGATTAAACTAGAAATAAAATATGTAAGAAGTATTGGTATCAGTATCGGCAATACCAGCCTGGGTTTTACTTGGTATTGGATCGTATAGGGTTTTTGCTTCTCTGGAATCATTAATGTGTACTGAACACACCCTTTGTGCACACACAGACTCACCGAGTGCCGTTGGGAGCAGCGTTGCCGGACGAGTACATGCGTCCAGATGGAGGTCTGTGGGGGGAGTCCTGGACTGTTTCTGGGAGATTGACTTTCCTGATGACCTTACCTGAGGTGGGCCTGGCTTGCCTCCTCAGAGCCGTCACCTGACACACATTGCAAACAGTAAAGTAATGACAGGTGAACACTACAGCATACCAGTGTATTTCTGCATCCATTATGTATCACACATGTTTCAGCATACATTATTGATCACAAGTATTTCTGCATACATTATGTATAGTACAATCCATACTCTCTTTTTCTGCCACTGCTCACCTCCTCGGTCTTTCTCCTCAGAATCAGCTCCTGTTGCCTTTTCTGAGCCTCCAGTAACTTTAGTTGGTGCTGTAACACAGTTACAGTAACAGTTCAATGATGATATTGAAGCTCGTGGTACAGATTGATTAAGACGTAATTACAGACAAAGAGGATGTAGAGGCCATCGCTGTCACTGACCTCTTGCTTGCGCTGGTCTTTCTTTAATGAAGCAATTTCTCGGTTTCTGCGAGACTCGTTCATCCTGTTCCTCTCCTGCTGCTCCTTCATCTGCTTCATGAGACGGACCTGGAGCAATCAAATTAAAAATATTTCTATTATATACACAAACTATCGAGAAAGCAAGTCAAAATTTGGTCGAGCAAATTGAGTAAATTATGTAGATTTAAAGCTGCTGATCTCATGGGGCAGCATGCTTCTGATGCTACCCTAACGTGACCTATAAGTTCTCAGTCAATGGTTTTTGGTCAATTTTATATTAATCTCAATTGTAGTAAATCCTTCCAAACATACTTAACTGGGGGGGGGGGGGGGGGGGACATACACAAAGGGTAATGTAGGAAAAATGATAATCAAAAGATGACAAATTTCCCCAATAGCATTACAATACAGTATTATCACAATCAACCTCAAAGTGGACATCTACTGTAAGCAATCATACCTTTGTCTTCTTCATTTCCGCCACATCCAGCTGAAGCTTCTTCAGCTGTTTCTCGTACTGTGACTGGTTCTTCAGGAGTCGGGCGTGCTCCTTCTGAGCAGAGTGTAGCTTCTGAAGCTCTTTGTTCATGACGCTCAGCTTCTTTTCATATTCAGCCTTGATCTTGCGAGCCTTGTCCTCTGTGCCGCTTTCTACTGATGCTGAAAGTATGCACCACAAAACTCATGGAAAACTGATCTTCCGTAAAAAGACAGAATGCAATAATGCTGTAAAACTTTTTAAAAATGGTAAAAAACACAATCGCTTTTAATTGGTAGAGTTTCACATGTAGCGCTCACACTGTGTTACAAACACATTTTTGCTTATCACAAACTTGATCTTCAGCTGTCAAAAAGTATCGTGGTTTGTTGTTTTTTTTAGCTGAAAACTTGCCCATCAGACAATACTTTGATCCATTAGTGCTGATAAACATAAATGTAACTGTCTTCGTCTGACTGCTGGCGGAACACATTCTCAACGGACTTTAAAGGATTCTCTGAACTACATAAAGTATAAAGCGTTCTGAAGCGTTCTGAATAGTTTCGGTTTTTTTTATTACTAAAGAACAAAAACCAAGATCAAACATGCAGGGTAAGATATAAATTCTTCCAAATACAAGTAGAACAAGCAAGAACTTAAATATACATCCCTTTAAAACTGAAATAAACTTATTGAAAGGCACTGGGCTTTAAAAGCCAAACCCACATCTGCCTTTTGGTGGATGTTTTTATCCAACCGCCTGAGCAAGAGTGGATAAATGACGTACAGTATATCAGTAGAGTGCATTACTCTTCCCACTGAGCAATACATGACCCCCCCCCCCCAATGGCATCCTTGTCTTACTCATGTTATGGAGGACACGGTCCCTCTCCAGCTGGGTGTCCCTGATCTTGCACTGCAGCATCATCAGCTTCTGTTCGTACTGCTGTTTGAGTGTGTGCAGACGCCGCTGGCTGTTCTCCAGCTCGTCGATCAGCTTCTGCTTGATGGCGATCTCACAGGTGATGTTGGCCAGATCGGCCTGGAAGTTCTCTGTTCGACACACATGATCAGATTAAGTTTTCACGTCCGCAGTGAGATTACGGTCACAAAATGGAAGTATATTCTGTTTTCTGTGCAAAAGACACTTTTACATAAAATCACTCCAAAAGGGGGGATGTAATTTTCTAAATCATTGTCTTTTGTCTCATTAATTACTTCATTTCTGTTCTTTAAGTGTTTAGATCCTTATACTAACAGCCTTCCCACAAGATTTAGTGAATAGATCATTTTGAGTATTTGGGTTCTACTTTTGCTGTGTTTGGGACAAATTCATTTAAGTCTGTAAACATCTCATCGCAATTTAAAAAATATTACTTTTCTTTTGCCCATTACTCAGCACTTTATTTCCCTAACCGTTTCTGAGTTTCCTTAATGTGGTCAGCTATAAACATAGGCGTGAATGTGGTGCTGGTGGGCTTGTGTGAAACTGGTCTGTTAATGGTTGAACAGCTCCCCCTTGTGGACAATCAGCAGCCCCTTAAGGGGAACGAGCGAGAGATGCCACACAGTCTCTCATACCTTTTTCATCTGACTCCGAGTCAGAATCTTCTGAGCTCTCTTCCACATCCATCTCTTCTTCATCCTCCTCTTCTTCCTCTTCTCCTTCTCCTTCCTCATGGTCGCTGCCTTCCTGGACCTCCTACATGATAACATACCCATAACTTAATATCTGAAGGCACTCTTCAATGTATTCCAATGCAGATTCAATATCAAGATGAAACCTGAGGCAGTCATACCATTTCTGCATCCTCATTGACCCTTTCTGTCATTTCCTTCTCGGTGCCCTTTTCTTGATCATTGTCAGGAACTTCATCCTTGGTGGCACTGAAAGAATCAGACATGGTTAAGAATCAAATTCTTGATTATGCCATGAATATTTACTGAGCAGAACACATGGTGCACACATGGTACCCCTTCACACGCATGTAAACAAGAAGCATATTTCAAACAAAACATCTGTGAGTAATAAATGCATTGTTTAATTTTTTTTTAGGTTGGCAGAGCTTTGTTTTGTAAATTGCATAATACATAGCACATTTTTCACCAAGGATTTACACTGTCTTTTTGGAAAACAAGCTTTTCCATGGGCCTCACCCACTGTGCAGCAATAAAGCTGGTAGCTGTTAAGGACATAATTTATTATGATATACTGTATTTGTAGACAAACTTTCTTGTTTACATGTATTATAAAACATATGCAGAAATCCTTCAGCGTGAGCTCATGACATGGGGAACTATAAAGTTGAGCACGAGATGACACTGCTCCGTTTTCATGAGCTTGTTTGTGGAAAAGACAGTGTATTTTTCTATAAAAAAGGGAGACATCTCATTAGAATCCTAACAAAACCAGCAAAAGCAAAAAACTATGGAAGTAGGTTGCAGCGCAAAAGAAAATTGTGAATCAAGTCCATGAAGCAGATCTGTTGGATAAATATTTTATCCAAACCAGAGAGTTAGCAGTGTTTAGGTGGTGTTTCGCACAAAATCATCTGGATAACCAAAATGGAAGAAGATACATATTTTGCCTATGCACTCGACCTTAAGGTGCTTTCAACACATTTTTTGAAATTTCAAACCTTCAGCGCTAATAATATAAGTGGAAAAATGTTTTAATAAAAACATGAACAAGAGTGTTTATGAGCCTTGACCATGTTGTGTTGAAAATATCTCATAACACACTTTCAAGTTCCAGGTTGACTTTAACACCTATTAAAAAGTCAGTGAAAACACAAAAGAAAGATGCAATAGAAAGCAAGGATGTAGCGTGATGGGTCAATGAATGAGCTAAGGGGTTCACACAGAAGATCTAAAGAGAGATAAGGGCTTATGGTGTTTAATGGAGGGGAAGTGCTTCTATGGTAGCAAGTCTCACTCCTGGTGGGGAATTACCTGCCCAAAATAAATAAAAAGTCAAATAAAATATCGAATTAGGGGAAACAAAGGATGGGAATGGCAACGGCAACAGGAGGGTGGAAGCTCTGACAAACCTGGCATCCTCAACCTCTTCCACCACCACCACCACCACCTCCTCCCTTTCCTCCCTCTCTCTCTCCTCCAACAGCTGCTGGAGTCTTCAGGGAGGGGTGAAGTGTCAAACGAGAGAAGGAAGCAAGAGATGAACGAAGGAAGGAAGAATGGAGGGAAGAATGGTCAGAGGAAGCTCTGTGTACTGGAAATCCCACCCTGTATCCCCCCTAAAGTGCCCCACAGCACAAATTTGATCATTTGTAACCTGGAACCTCTGATCAGTCTTTAATACTGTTGTAGATTTCTCATGATGAATTACTCCTTGCATTGACGTTTATCAGCACTACAATACGGTCTAATTAATTAATCTACATTAAAAATTTTAAATTAGTAGATTATTGAATGCTTCATGTCTATAAATGAAGTCAAAAATTTCATTTAAGCACTTATTAGCTGCACTGTGTCTCAGTTTAGAAATTATGACTAATGGTCCACAGGCCTTTAAATATGGATGTTCCAATGCATAAAATCCTATTTCTTAGTAAAGTCAAACTGACTTCTGGGTGAAACATTCAGTGATATGTTTTTGAAATATTTGGAATGGTTTAGGATAAAAATCACAAGATAATATCAGTTTGAAACGTATTCAGATGTATGCACACCTGTAACACCACATCCACTCAGAAAAAAACAATTCTAGATCAGTGACAAATGACAGTATGTCTACATCAGTCTTATTACCTTTTCTTTTTCTTTTTTTCTCGTTTCTTTAGTTTCTCCAGGTCTTTCTTGGCAAGTTCAATGATGTCAGAAGTCTCCTTCTCAGGGGCCAGCACCGTGGAGGAGAAGGAGCCGGTCCCTCCGTAGAACGACTGACGATTGGAGGCACGAGACAGATTCTTCCTCAAATGCTCATTCACAGCCTCGCTTTCCAGGAGTTTGGCCCTGAGGGTGAAATCCATGGACACAAACAGGAGGAACACACATATGACCAAGGGTAGAATTTGAAAATATACCATCAGTATTGTTATTCGTACATACTCTTAAGGAGGAGCCCAAAAGCATTTTCCAAAAATGTTGTCTCTATTATTTCCATGCCTCCTCTTGCACTCCTTTATGTCTCTCACTAAAAAGGTACATATTTATGACTTACAGTCCAAAAATACTCTAGAGACTGAAGTATGAAGCACATTGGGCTGAAAGGCCAATGGGATTTCAGCAAAGTTTTTGAAAATGTTTGTTTCTTTTCTTTCCGTCTCCTACCCACTTCTTTCATAATCAGCGCACGTTAAATCAATGTAAGTACTATTAACAATTTGACACATCTTTTATATTTGCTTACAAGTCATAAAACATTTAAAGAGTAATTTGAGAGGAGGAGGCCTTGGTCCATAAGTGGATCGTGTAACCAACTGTATATCCAGTATAAGGCAAAAGAGAAACAGCAAATGGGACAAAAAAACTGCATCAACTGTGTTCCAGCTCCATGCAACATACTACATCTATGTACATTTCGTATGCAGTGCATTCGTACTGGAAAAGTAACAAAGTTAAGTATAATCAAAGACATTGAAATGCACAGAAAATTATCCTGTTGGTGGACACTATTGTCCCACACTAGTGTCTAGAAGTCTGAAGATGTCAAAACTCCAGCAACACTTGTAGCACGAAGAACGACTTTTAGTCAAACCACTGTGTTCTGACTTCATCAGGCAACAAGCTGAAACAAGTTGTTCTTTGTCCACCAAGTGTTGCTGAAGTTGACCTCTACAGAAAACAAAAAAACCCCCAAAGCAATAAATCTTAAAATTTACAAAAATGTTTTGTGCACAAACTAACAAATAACCTGTATAAATTATAAATAAGTATAACTCTATTATACCCCACAGAGTAAGTGCCTACAATAGAACTGAGGCACAGTTAGCATTCACAAAAACTACTGTTAGAGTTGTTTACCTGAGGTCTTCAATCTCTTTGATGTAACTCTGAATCATGTTTCCAATTTCTTCAGTTCCGCCTTCACCTGGAAGAGAATCAAGACAATTTTAGATGAGAAAAAGGAAAAGAAAAATGGCTTTTCTAACCAAACTAAATATCTTTCCTTCATAACAGGTAACAAAATTATCTGGCAGAACACTTATTTTCCAATACTCAAAAGCCTGCGTGTTCCAGCTTACCTGCCCTGGCGAGGGTCTGGTTGGCCTGGTCACTGAGCAGCTGGGTGAGCCGTGCCCTCTGGGCATCAATGGTCTCTTGCATGGCCTTCACTCTCACCCTCAGGTTGCTGTTCTCTGTCAGCAGCATGGAGTTCTCGTGGAACATGTCGCTAAAGCTCTCAACACCATCCTCACCCGACATGCGTTTACCCTGCAGGGGGGAGGACAAGACATGTTTTTGACTCCTCCCTTTGACATGAAATATTAGGTTAATTATTTTAATTTCATTTTTCAATGCAATCCCTGACCTCTGAACTCCTCCTCTCTGCTTACCGTCTTGTACTCCATCAGCTCCATCTGCAGTCGAGCAATCTCTGTCCTCAGAGCGCTGATCTGCTGGCTGGCTTTGTCCTGGTTCACCATCACCTTGTTCTTGATGTTCCGGGCTCGGTTGGCGTACTTTAATGTGTTCAGAGTCTCCATGAAGTCACGGTCAGACGGGCTGATGCATGCGATCATCACTGTTTGGCTGAGACAAGAAGGAGGCGGATATTTATTGAAGGGGTCATATTATGCTCATTTTCAGGTTCATAATCTTATTTAGGGGTTGTACCAGAACAGGTTTACATGGTTTCATTTTCAAAAAAAAAAACATATTTTTTTGTCATTCAGCACATTGCTACAGCTCCTCTTTTCAACTTGTGTGTTGAAGGCTTCGTTTTAGCTATGGTGTGATGCCATGATCTTGCCTCTACATGATCTTTGTTGGGAGTTGCACATGCACAGTTCTTTGTAAAGGACTATTAGCCAATCAGAAGCAGAGTAGGGCGGGCCCCGAGAAGCTGGTAAACAGGCTTAGGTTCAACTGTATATCCCCTTACCAGCTTATCAACATGGACTGGAGCAAGAGTTTCTGAGTGGTGAGTTATTAATCTGTAACAAAAGTATCTTTCATCCACAAAGTTTTAACTGAGCGCTGTCTCTACATCACAGGAACAACTTTATGTCCACTGACTGCCTGGAGGGTAGCTAGTGTTTGGAAGGGAGAGGAGAGCTGTGTGCTGCAGCTCAGTGTTTTTCCACCGGTGTTTTTGAGGGCGTGTCGGACTGGCCGCTTGGCGAGCGTTATGACTGTTTTGCATTTTACTGTGTTGTCACAGGGATGGAAGGGAAGCGGCTGCACTACAATTGAGCTGTTTTCAGGCAGTTCAGAGCAGAGTTTTCTGAGGGAGATGGGAACTCACTTTGGGCTGGACTTAGGTTAGCAAAGTGAAAAAGCCCAATTACATGCACAAAACAGAAATATAGCTCAATAAAGCAGAGGGAAAGAGGGAAAAAGCTAAAAAGCATAATACCACCTCTTTAATGTGTGGTTCAGCTGCACAATTCTGACAAAAACTGATACAACTTGATGTATGATACATTACAATTTGAAACATTTGAAAAATAAGAATACAAAAAAACTACTTTAAAGCATAAAAGCTTAGGTGTAGGTATGCTCTAGAAAGTGGATCTTCCATTTTCAAATGTGGAAGAATCAGTGATAATATTTTCTGTTCAGTACATTATTAATGAGCCATCTTAAAAGGTCTTCCATTGGATTTATATCAATAGTTTGCCTGCATTATTCTCAAATACCTGTATATTTCACCCACTGTTTTGCATATGCATTACAAGGATCAGGGGAAGAGATCCTTATATGTTCTTTTATAATTACTTTTTGCAGTAATATGGGATTGATTTCCTATTTTCCTTAAATGAAAGACATTTTCAAAAAAAGCCTCGACTATCAAGACTCCAAGGGTTAACAGGGAAATTACACCCTACTTGAGGAAAAAAGGTAAAATCAGTTGTCCACCAACCTGTTTCCTCCTAATGAGTCCTGTAGAAGTCGGGTAAGTTTGGAGTCTCTGTAAGGCACATGTGAAGACCGCTTGCCACGGTCACCCAAAGCACTGATTACATTCCCCAGAGCGAGCTGCAGAAACAGAGAGGGGAGCAAAGCGAAGAAAAAAGTTTCAACAGTTTCAAGGTGCTGCAGCAGTTTACTATGTACAGAATGAAACTATAATTTATATACAGAAGGACACAATAAAAAGACAACATATGAACATGTTGCTCATCACTTAAAAAATGTTCTTTTCTTTTTATGCCATTTCTTTTAAATCATTTACCAAATCAGGCCCGTCAGTGATTTGTATGTTTTAAATGGTTTTCAGTCTGGTGGAAGCAATCATGGTTTTCATCACCAGGGGATAGGTTTAAAATAAATTACTATTAGATTCAATAAATGTGTACATTTTTTCCTGGTGATCCATTTGTAAAGTTTGATGGTTGTCCCTGCCTTTACCACTAAATGTATTAATTGTGCTCACACATCTCAAATACTCCAGAAATAAAAGTAAATAGAGGAAACCCTGGAATGACAGGGATAGTTACAGGGAACAGGGAATTATTTAAAATACTTAAAAATCTACACTGACGCTGCAACAAAATTTTACTTAGACTTTCTGCAAGTAACAGATCCAAATCCATTGGTATTGACAGAGCTTCAGACTGAAGCTTGTGTGTGTTGTTGGGTAAAACAGCAGAGATCATGTTAAATGGAAAAGGTTTGCGTTTGTCTTTGTTCTTTTCTAGTTGCATAGTTGATGACCTAATACACTTTGTGTGCCGGATGGACATTTATGAAATTCTGCCACTAGATGGCAGTCAAACTATAGAATATCGGGCTTCTATGCAGAGGAAGGACAAGCTCACCAGTCCACAGTTGATGGAGATGCCCTCTTTGGCGCGATCACCTGTCGCTCCAGTTCTCTTCAGCCTCTCAGAACCGGCCAAGTCCACAAAGTGAAACTTGGCGGTCAGCGTCTCATACTCGTCCATCTCAGAGTTTCCGTTGGAGACTCTGTTATCAGTCTCAGTTTCTTGCTGAGTGACAATGACACACACAGACACTGTTAGTTACACAGCACTGTGCTACCCTTGCAGTACCCTTGTCATTTATCAGAACAATGAGACTGTACTAACATTGTCAGAGGCACAGACGCGAACTTGGCACAGGTGGATGGTGAAGATGGCGTGGGATCGAGAGCTCTGGACGTTCATCTGAGTGCTGGCTGTGGTGCGAGAAAGAGCCCCCAGCTTCAGGCACTGTATCATCTAAACAGGCAGAGAAAAAGCTTTAAATATCAACACACTGGTCAAACTCACTTTGACACAAATACTTTCAGTGTAGGAATGAATAATATATGAATAATGAATGAATGAAATTGTATTTGTAAAGGCCTTGTGGTAGTAAAGGAGGTGCACATTCAAGAGTGTAGAGCTATTAATAATAAACATAAATAAACATCACGTTAAAAACTTAAATGGAGTACGAAAAGAATTGCATTATTATAACTTTAACATCTTTGTTAATTTATCATCAAGATGAAACCAGTGCCGTCTGAGAACCATATCGTCCACTAACAAAGTTAACTAATGAATGATTAAGTTTCTATTAATAGCTGAGATTTAGTATTACAATCGAATGTTATTCCCTCCTATATTTGAAAACTGACAGAAAGTTCTTGTTTATAGATTTGAGCAGCAACAATGTTTTATTCAATTGTCCATCTTTGTGTAGTTATCAGGCACATGTCCACCAAAAGTCTCAAGAACCTATTCAAACTCTACTGCATTAACAACGGCAGTCACAACGGGCGAGATGTTTGTTAAACACACGCTGCTTTACCTCAGCCTCGGAGGACACGGTCCGTGTGGTCACTCCTACTGTGTAGATTCCCCCGGTGGCGTCTTCGTGGATCTTGATGTGAGATTTCTGCTTCATGTCTCGTGTGGAGTCAAACAAGTCCAGAACTTCCTCATTATAAAGCTACAGGGAGCCGAAACACAAATGCACACAAAATATTAACCGGGCAGATTTAAATCATGGATTAAATCATAACAATTCACACAATATCTGAAGAAGAGAAGCAACACCAACAACTCCAGCTAATTTTTGACTAGAAAGGATTGGCGAAATTAAAAGTGGACACCTAGAAATGCAGCGATGCCACGCTCATGTCTACTTTGAAAAGAGAACATACAGAACTACTAACCCCGCTGTATGAGGGGGCATACAGAAACATGCCCCTGCATAGTGTAAAAAATACAATAATGCTAGTATGACAAAGCATGCTATGTAAACCTCTGTATTGTTAATGCAATAATCCTTAATCCCTTTAAGTTTCCTTTTAAAAACACCTGAAACTTTGTGATTTAATGTTGTATTTGCATATTTACTACTACAAAGGGCACTGTGCTTTACTCTATCGTCTCTGACCGACATTCAGTTCCTTTATTTTTAGGAGAACATTAACTGTAAATAAAAATATTACCCGAAGAACAACGTCTCCCAGTGCACTGATGCAGAACGTAACAAAAAAATTCAGGTAACTAATCTATGATAGATAGTAGAGCTAAAAATTGTGTTAAACTGAAGTGTTTGAGTAAATCCAAGCTATCGGCCAATCATCGGAGCCTTCTCCCTGCTAAATAAAGAATCTGTAAAACCTGCAGTGACATCTCATTTTCTTTTTTATTTATTTATTCAAAAAAAGTCTTTTGCATAGAAAATCTGGAAAAATAATAAAACTTTAAAGAATGTTTATATAAAAATGAACATATGAACAGTTAGAAATAGTAATAACTGTTGGAAACTATCACTATCTGCCCAGTGTTGGATTTCTGTGCATATCCATCTTTCACAAATATTCCTCCTCTCCAGTTCTTCTCAAGTAATGTGAACATTGTCACAGTCTGATGGACAGGCACAACTGTCTACTCACATCATTCCTGTTAACTCTTCCTGTCCTCACTGAGACACCACCATCAACCCCAACACCTCCTAACCCCCTGATGACAGCTGCTGCAGTTCAATTGTTAGGGTGGACATTTTCAAACGATGGAGCGCTGGTTACAAAGCTTGTTAAATGGAACCGTGTCAACAATTTCAGCATGACCTATGACATCTCTGTAAAGCCGGTCCTAATACTAGTGAAAGAAGGATTACATATTCTTTGTCTTATTTAATTTATACTTTGAGGTAAAATAAGAAAACATTATTTATGATGCAGTGAAGCTGTGTGTACCTCGAGGAATTGGGCGTTAATCTTAAACTCCGGCACAGGGCGTCCCTGCTCCTGGGCGGCCTGTCGGCGCTCCTCGATGCCCTTGAAGAGGTGGTGGACGGCGCGCGGGATGATACCAAGCTCCTCATCAACGATGTTCACGTCAAAGCCCGTACCCATGGTGTAGGTCTTCCCTGAACCCGTCTGGATAGGGAGGTGAGAAAAATATAATACATATAGATACAAAAGAACCAAAAAAAAGTTGTTAATGAAGGAATTCTACCGATTATACACATCATAGTCTGCTTACAGGTCTTGGAGAGTACTGCATGTATGAAAAAAGTTGATTACAGTCTTTTTGTGGCGTCAGAGGGAGCTTCACCATAAATTGCCTCAAGTGATGTCACTTGAGTCAGCGTCAGTTGGGGCTCAGGACTACAAGTTCTCTAAAAATCTATGTTGTGGAGTTAGAAAGAAGTTTATTATTCCTCATCCCTACTTAAGGCTTCATTAGCCACTGCTAGCATAACACACCCGCATCTCAAACCAAACAGTCAGTCGTAGAGGTGTATTGTGGGTAAAGAAGGCGTTTGGTGTCGAGAAGGAAGACTGTGTGGAATAAAAAAGACGATATCTCTGTCAACTATGAGATCTGCAATATTATAGAGGTGCAATGCTGAATCGGTGGAGTACTCTGTTAAAAGGGATTCGGGATGACTTTCCAGACGAGAAAAAGGTTTCAGATCTCAACTTAAGACTTATTATTTCTAACTTGATAAAAGTATTCTTAAAAAAGGTAAAAACAGTTGGTAGCAGTATTTTCAAACATACAACAAAAAGTACGTGGACTCCCGAACATTACATAAATGTCGAACATCTCAGTCCTAAACCATAGGCATTAATCTGCAGCAGTGTCCACGCCTCTGGTTTCAGGCTTTCCACCAGATGTTGGAACCTGACAGCAGGGATTTGGCCACTGATGTTTGGCGATATGCCCTGGCTCACAGTCAGCGTTCCAGTTCATCCCAAAGGTGTTAAATGGGGTTGAGGTCAGGGCTCTGTGCAGGCCATTCAAGTTCCTTCACACAAAGCTGGGGAAACCATTTCTGAATTGATCTGGCCTTGCGCACACCTAGTCATGCCAAAACAAGACGACGGCCTTCCTCAAACTTGTCAGAGAGTTAGAAGAAAACCATTGTCTAAAATATCATTGTATGCAGTAGCATTAATACTTCACTCACCAAGAACTAAGGGCCCCAAACCATAAAAAGAGCCAGTGATGAAACATAAATGTTCACATACATTTTGACATGTAGTGTATTTTGCCTCTGCTCTCTAAAGTGCACTTTGTAGGGTATACCAGCTTTTGAAAAGATCTATACAAATAAAGAGTGCATCAAGTTCAATGGGATTTTTTTCACTTTCTAGAATTTTTCCACATCCCTTAGGCACAGACATGAACTCATTGCATTTACAGTGATTGGACAAGTTTTTCCAGTCAAGAAAAAAGGTGACTTCCGAGGCTATTGTCAGTAGAAAGCTTGGTAACTATTTACTTACTAGTTTTCCTTTGCTCTACACTTTTAAAATGTATTGTTTGTTTTTTTTAGAACAACAAACAGACACGCTAACATATAGCATGTTAAATTTAGCATTGCAAAAAAATTAAACAGAATTTTACCAACTGGTATCTCCTTTTCTTCTTTAAAATTATACACATCTTTCGATAAGGGAACATTTACTCTCTACTCTCCACATCTTTACTGTCTGTTTATATCTGCAACCCAACCGGGCAGAGTTCTTGTGATGCAGCCGAGTGGGTCGATCTAAATCTAGATTAGTCCCTGTAAAGCCACAGAGGCAAACAGGTCTGATCCAGGTCAAGCCAACCGCGGCGTGGGTGAATGTGCTTTCAGAAGTAGGCCAGCAGTCACAGAAGCAGTAACTGGGGAGATATGTGTTCATATGGACACACATTAAAAATGTATTGCTGTCTAAAAGGTGTGTGTGCACTTGACTTCACTTGGAATCGTGCGAGTGCCGTACAGAAGGAGCTCGGTCGCCACAGCAACCACAGCACTAGGGGAGGAGGGGAGCTATGAGGCCCAAACTTGCATGTTATTTCCATGTGGCGAACTTGGTGAAGCAAACGAAGACAGAGGGAGTAGTAGCGGGAGTCAAAGAAGAAAAAGAGTGGGAGAGTAGGACTGCAGCTAATGATAATTTTTCAGTACCCATTAATCTGCATATTGTTATCTAAATTAATCGTTTGATGTCTGAAATTTAAAAATGCCCATGAGAATTTCCCAAAGGTCAAGATGACATAGTCAACTTATTTTTCCCTAATAAGCAGACCTACTCCAATGTTTTTCCACATATGCCTTGACAACTGATGAAGTACCCCAAGGGGGGCAAGTACGGCTGGTTGCGATTTACTGCTCTATTGTAATTCTACAACTGCTACTTCTGTGTACTCCCATTGCGTGTTTATTCATCCTGGACGGGGATCCACCTCTTTTGGTCTTCATGAGGCCTCTGTTTCCTTTCAATGCTGGAGTTGTTTAAATAAAAAAATAAAATAAATCATAAAATAAAAATCGCCATTTTGTCATACATATTGAAATCAGAAAACATTCATATAAAGGAATAGTTTAATGCACTTATTCTCTTTCCTGCTGACAGACAGTCAATGCCACTCTCTTATCAGTTAAATATTAAGCTTGAGCCAGCAGCCAGTTATCTTAGCTTAGCATAGAAACTGGAAACAGGGCAAACAGCTAGCCTGGCTCTTTCCAAAGGTTACAGAAATATGTCTACAAGTGCCTGGAAAGCTTACTAAGAAACTTATTATAAGTTGTTCCGTACAAAAAACTTTTTTCTTCACTTTTTTTTATCTACAGACAAGACACAGGCTAGCAGTTTCCCCCGTTTCCAGTTTTTATGCTAAGCTAATCTAACTGACAACTGTCTGTAGCTTCATATTAAGTGTACAGATGTGAGGGTAGCATTGATCTTCTTCATTGATCCAACTCTCAGCAAGAAAGCAAATAAGACTGGTTAAAAACTGGTTGAAGAAATACACAGTTACAGAGGTTCAAATGCCACAACAGAATTATCCTCTGATGGCAACACTCTCCATCTCTCAAACACCGCCTTCTCTTTCTCTCCTCAAACACACAAATGCACAGAGTCTATTTCCCTACATCCCCCAGCTATAAAGCTCCATCAGCACTGCAGCTTAGGACAAAGACTCGCCTGTCCGTATGCAAAAACGGTGGCGTTGTAGCCCTCGAAGCAGCCCTCGATCAGCTTCTCTGTGCAGGTGGTGTAGAGGTCTTCCTGCTGGGAGTCCATGTCGAACATGTAGTCGTAAGTGAAGGCTTTGTCTTTCCCCAGGATCACCTGAGGCTCCCCAGGCATCACGTATGTACAGATGTGGCATCCCTCTATCTTCTCCCTGGCCAGCTGAGGACGAATCCTACAGCAAACACAGAAATGAGGGCTTGAGTTACACAATGAGGAATATTATATAATTAATATATTATTAAGTATACCTATGCGGTCAAATGAAACCCAGTATAACAGACCTGCCACACATTGGCCAGTTTTTGTAAAACTTTCTAAGTAGTGTTAATTCAACTTTATGTTTATTGCTGAGGTTGTAGTTAGCGGTGTTATTGTATTAGACTGTGTTATACCCCCCACCATGTTTGTAGATGGGGTGGGCGAAACCTTAGAAACACCTCAATATAATGCAGGGTGTTATGAAGGATACATATTAAAATATTTATTGAAATAAAATAAATAATGCCCCTCAATAATTTAAAACATTTTAAATGCCCTTTTGTTACTAAACACAACTACTGTCCCTTGTACGCTTCCATAACTCATTCCTGAGAGCTTATGTTAATTCAATCTAGGCAAGGAAAGTAAAGAAAAATGCAGCCTAAAGCAGTAGAAATTCTTGGCATCACACATTCAGCAGTGGAGGAAAATTCCAACCCACACCCAAACCACTGAGCCAAATAAAATAAAATAAAAAAAAAAAAATCAATATGGATAAATTTCTAGGGACAAATCTGATTGGTGTAAAATAATAGAACATTTTGTTTGTAAATATGGAATGTAGGGTCGTGTTTAATAGTTATATACCATCAGGAAGGGAAATAAGGTAAATAATGTAGGATAAACTGTAGTTCTTGCCCTGTGTATGCAAAATCAGTAAGATTACAGTGAGTAAAGTAAGGAAATAAGAAAACAAACACTAGGGAACATAAAAAGGTTTGATGCTCCTTTGGGGACTGGAGTAAACTTTCAAATAATTTGTGTAACACCATTTTAGTTGCTTCTCAGAGTTGCAGTGAAATCAATGTTCAATGTTTCTTAAAGCTGTAGAAGAAAAATAAATAATAGACATTGTTAGAAAATGCAAAACTAAAGCATCCACTGATTGTAACAAAATAGATATGAAGATAGTAAAAACTGAAATTGAGGGGAAATTTGTCATTCCAAACTGGTCAATTTCCAACAAAAATGAAAACAGCAAAAGTCATACCTCTGTACAAAACTGGAGATAAACACCACTTCAGAAATTACTGGCCTGTCTCTCTCTAGAAAAACTCTTTAATGACAGATTGGACAAATTCATAGATAAACACAAACTGCTTACTGACAGCCAGTATGGATTCAGAAAAAATAGGTCAACATCACTAGCTTTAATTGAACTCATTGAAGAAATTACAAATTCCACTGACCAAAAACAATATGGAGTTGCGGCATTCATTGATTTGAAAAAAGCATTTGATACAATTAATCATGACATACTAATGAATAGACTGGAAAGGCTCGGGATCAGAGGAATTGTACTGAAGTGGTTAAGCAGTTATTTAAAAGACAGGAAACAATTTGTGAAGTTGGGAGATTACACATCTCAATGTTTGGACATTGAGATGTGGTGTACCCCAGGGGTCAGTGTTGGGACCAAAATTATTTATCCTCTACATAAATGACGTATGTAAAGTATCTGTTCTACTCAAATTTGTATTATTTGCAGACGACACAAACATCTTTACTTCTGGTCAGAATTTACAGCAACTCCTGGATTTAATCACTTCAGAAAAATAAAACAGTGGTTTGGCACAAACAAGTTATCATTAAATCTGAGCAAAACTAAATTCATGATATTTGGCAATTGTAAATCAATCATTCAAGTTCAGTTACAGATCGAGGGTGTTAATATAGAAAGAGTACATGAAATAAAATTCCTTGGAGTGATTATAGACGACAAGATTTGCTGGAAATCTCACATAAAACATATCCAAACAAAACTATCTAGAAGTATTTCAGTCCTGGCTAAAGCTAAGCACATTCTAGATTATAGATCACTCCACATTTTGTATTGTTCACTGGTGTTATTGTATTTAAATTACTGTGTAGTGGTTTGGGGTAACACATATCAAAATTCATTGCAATCGTTATTTATACTTCAAAAAAGAGCAATGAGAATAATTCATAACACAGGATATTTGGAACACACCAACTCATTATTTTCACAGTCTAAAGCATTAAAACTATTTGATCTAGTTGAATTTCAAACAGCAGTAATTATGTTCAAGGCTAGAAACAATTTATTGCCTGGCAATGTACAGAAAAGGAAAGTCACATTTTAAGACTCCCAGTTTTTGAACTACTCGGAAAAGTTTCTGTTTATCTGTCAGTGGTGTTAAGTTGTGGAATAAACTTAATAATAAATTAAAGCAATGTCCAAATATTTTCCATTTTAAAAAGATGTTCAAAGAAATTATTTTCCAGAGGTACAGAAAAACAGTGCTGATAATAACCTGGGCTTATACTGAAGAATTTGTAGTATGTATAAATATTGTCGTGTATGGGTAATATCTGTATGTGAATAGAACTTTTGAATATATATTTTCATTCATTATAGATTTATTATCTATTTAGAGTTATTATTTTGAGTTATTTCCTTAAATATGGTAGTAAGGGTATAAAGGAGTCGGAGTACATAAGTTTTACTTCTTCCTACTCTTTTTTGCACATGTAAATAGAGGTTTTTAAGTACTGGAAAGTATGGAGTTTTTCTTTGTTGTTCATTTGTTTTTTACCACTATTTTTGTTTAATTTATTTTTTTTATTTACATGTTCAAAATAAAGATATCAAATCAAATCAGTATTCAATTACAGATGGCCTTCAAAAGTCAGTAATCCATAAGAATCTGTATCTGGGCCGATCTGGGCATATTCTAATGGATAGGTATCAACTAAAATAAAGCCAATCCTCTCTTTACTGCATTTCATCAGTCTGCTAGTGTTGCAGCGCTACTCTCCTGTATAGCTGGGATCTGCAGTACGCAGAGTTTTTCTTTAGTTCCCACAACTCCAACAGACAGTATTGGATATAGCTTGTGAAAATAAGGTATTAGCTTAACACTCCTTATGAGTCCACAAAAAAAATCAACATTTAAGTAAATAAAAGTATCGGATCTCACTCTGTATCAACAGATTCTCAGTATTAAAGAACTCGGATCAGAGAAATAAAACTCAATCAGGACCATCCCTGTTTGTTACACAAGTATGTGTCGAGCTGTTAATTTCAATTTCCTAAGCCACCTGTTGATTTTATAGCATTAACAAAAATAACTTATCAAGGAAAACAAAGCACAGAAACAACTCTCCACCAATACCACATTACTGATTATTAACATTCAACAAAGGGATTTTAAAACATTTTAGAGAACAGCAGAGGGTACTTGGAGGGGATCAGTCTTCATCTGAATACAAAAATGTCTTACTAACAACTGCAAACATCGGCAACACATTTATTTTTTAACAGTCTAGTTTAGAACAATTCACACCTGAGTGGGTAGTGTTCCCTTCTTATGTTCAACGACACATTAACATACAGTTACTGTAGCTCCTGACAAGCCCAATAGATGCTGTTGGGATCAAACCTGGGAACATTGCAATCTTTCTAACCTTGCTACAGAATAAGTAGTTAGCGGCTTCATTAAGCAGTTAACTGGAGACAGAGTGGTGATTATAGCGCAGCATTGGCATATTTTTGGCACCCAGCCATTAGAAACACACTAAAAGAAACCTCCTTCTAAATTGCATTAAGAAGTCCAGTAAGTTTATATTTGACTTTCTCTGGTTCTTGTGTGATAAGCCAATGTTATTTCGACCATTTTAAATCACAGGAATATACTGAATTTGTTTCTTTATTTTATAATTTTTTTGTCTTTTTTTTACCAATATTGCGATTGCCATTTAAAATGCGATTCATTTTTAAGCTCTTTACCTATTATTCAAAATGGACAAATCAGTGTATAGTATGACCAACACAATACTAGATAGAGGTCAGACCTGTGTTATGATGAAATTAGGTGATGCATGAATTATTATTATGAGCAATGGTGGAGAAGAAGCATCAAATTTTAATAATGAGAAAAATAATTTGAGACAAGTCATGGCATTAAATAATAATATAGTATCATCAGATCGGCCTACCTACAGACCACAAGAAAAACTAATTTCACCACAGTGTGTTATACAGTAAGCGCTCAATACAAAACCCACAGTTCAACCACCAATTAATGAGTCCTTATCCCGGTTCAAATCTCCTAGGACTCCATCTTTTTATATCCCAGTAAGCAAACAAAAAATACTCAGTTTGAGGTTCAATTCAAAAGTTGGCCAACGAAAATAAAACCAAGTGACACCTCTCATGTTTAACAGAAAAGCTTAGTAATTCTCAGACAACACCGGAGTCCCCCCTTACCACACGTGTCTTTCTGTTGTGCACTTTTCCTGTCCGCCAAAGTGGCAGATGGTCCGACAAGTTCACCCACCACCACCAATTTACCAGAATGTAAAATCTTGTTTTACCACATCACGATAATATCGCAAATGCAAATAATCTTTCAGCCCTAGTCAACATCCTACTCTGACCCAATACTTTGTCTCTTAAAACCTGCCAGCTGGGTTAATATGTTCTGCTTTAGTCTGACAAAGCTGAAATGCTGAATGTTAGTAATCCTGAACGTTGGCCAACTAAAATCTGGCAGGGATTAACTAGTTTAATGGGGATGTGAGAGAGGAAGGAGAGAGAAAAGACATGACAGTGGCACTGTGTGTGCTCATTCTGCATTTATTTCTTTTGTGAAAGAAAGATAGTGTAAGCAACAGTGTTACTCACACACAGAGGGGGTTGCATTCAAGGATATAGACAAAAGAAACGAAGGCACTTTGTGAATGTTAGCCTGGAAAAGAAAAATGCTGGGGAATTCTGGTGGCAGGAGATGCATACCAAGTGTCCAACATCACCAAATTATTACATTATTTGTTATGCAGGTTCACTGGGGAGAAGCTCAGCATCTGCACACTGTTCTTAAATTCAAGACATTTATTGAATTAGTACATCAAACGTTTCAGTCCCTTCAGACCTTCCTCAGAGTATGAGTT